GCGTGCACGCGCGTCTGTGCTTGTGTCTGTGTCTGCGTCTGCCTGTGTGTGTGTGTCTCCATTTATCCCGGTGAATCATCATCTTTATCGTCATCATTGTCATCAAAATCATCATCAATATGAACGTGATTTACAACATCCTTGTCATCAAGAGCGTAAACATCAAGCTCATTATCACCATCGTCTCGAGGACCATCATCATTGAAAGCTTCATCGTCGGAATAATCAGATCATCAATGTCATCATCATGGTCATGATCATCGTGCGAATGATCTTGATCGTCGTCATCATACTCAACATCATCAACATCATCATCTTCATCATTATCATCACAATCAACATCAGCAGCATCAACATCATCATCATTATTATCATAGTCCTCATTATTATCATAAATATATTCATCCACATCATCCTACGGAACTGTATGAAGAACATCAACATCATCATCATCTACATGATCAGCATGGTCATCACAATCATCATCCGAAATCCATTATCAAAATGATCAAATTCATCATTGAGTTCATATTGATTACGATTCAGATGATGCAGATCTGGATGATGATGTTTTTCATGACGATGATGATGAACATATTGGTGATTGTTGGGGAGTTAGATGATGATGATGATGATGACGACGATGATTGAGGTTAGGAATGTGATGATGCAGATTATGATACCGATGTTGACGTTTCGATGATGATGACGATGGTGATGATTATTATCATGAACTCAATGATGATGATTATGAATATGATGGTGACATTGAGGATGATAAAGATGAGGACGTGATAATCAAAATGATGATTATACTGATGAAAACGATGATGGTGACGGTGATCATGATAATGATGATGATTTTGCTCTTGATGCTGCTGCTGCTGACGATCATGATCATTGAGATATTCATGACGATGATGTCGTTTGGTTGATGATGATGGCGATGATGACGATGATGATGATGAAAGTATTGATGACACCGATGATGATGAAAATTATGACGAAATGATGTTCTTTATGTGGTTGATGACCATTATGATGATGACGGAAATGATGATGATGTAGATTGTGATCATTAGTATTATTATTACTATTATGATAATAAATATAATTATTACTATCATGATGATTATGATTATGACCATGATGATGAATAGGTTGATGATGATAAAGACGATGGTGATGAATATGACGATGATGATGATGAGGTTGACCATAATGATGATCATAATAATTTTTTTGATGATGATGATAAATCGAATGGTGATGTTTCGGGTGATGACGTTGAAATTGTTGATGATGAAATCGGATGATAATGATGATTTGTTTAAAGATCGTGATGTTGATCACGATGCTAAATACGAAGGTTCTGATGATGATTAATTTGATGACAAAGACGATTCAGAAAATGATGGTGAAGATAACGATGATGATGATGATAATGATGATGATGTTGATGATCTGGACGATGATGATTAGGATGATGATGTTATTGATGATGATTCGAATGACGGAAGAATGATGGAGACGATAAGCATTTATGATAGTCATGGTGATGCTGATGATGTTCATGATGATGACTCGGATGATTATGAAGATAATGATGATGATGTTGATCATGATGACGATGATGGTGATTCGAATGAAGACGATAATCAATCGGTTGATGATGATGATGACAATGTTGATGATTTTGTTAATAATGATGATGAGGTAGATTATGTTGATAATAATGATATTCTTGCTGATGATGATTTTCCTGAATGATGTCGATTGTCGTTTTGATGATGACTTTGATGATGTTGCTGATTCGGATGATGATGTTGATTATTTTGATGACCAAGTTGATGATCACACGTAAGGATCATGAGTATGATCATGACGTTGATGAGGATCATGGTAATGCTGATGGTGAATTTTATGACACGATGATGATGATTCGGATGGTGATGTCCTGGCTGATTCTGATTCTGATGATGATGACGACGATAACGATGATGATGATAATGATGGTGATGATGATGGTGATGTGGATGATGAGGTTGATGTTGACGTTGATGTTGACGTTCATGATGATGATGATGAATATGATGACGATGTCGATGATCACAAGTACGATGATTCGGATATTGTTGTCGATTGTGTTTCAGATGGTGATGATGATGATGATGATGATGATGCTGTTGATACTGATGATGTCGATGATCAAAATGATGATGTTGATGATGATGATTCGAATGATGATCATGATGATGATGATGATAATGATGATGATGGTTATTCGGATTGTAACCTCCGTGGATCTCCCTCAAAGTATATTTACCTCGCTCTGATTACTCGCTTGGCTATTCACAATCCCAGGTGAGTTGACTAAAACTTAAGCACTTTATGTCACCCGATTCATCAACATTATCATCATTCGAATACGCATCATCATCATAATCCTCATCATCGTCATCATCTCCGGAATCATCTAGATCATCTATTAAAAGGATGGCGTCCCGACCCGAAGCGGAAGTTCGCAGCTTTCTGCGCATACCGCGAAGAAATCAGTGTCCAACCTGACGGAATACTATGACGCAACGATCGACTGATCATCCCACCTCCGTTACGCAAGGCTGTGCTAGAAGACCTACACAAAGGCCACTTAGGAGTGAAGATGATGAAGTCGTTGGCAAGACAGTTGTGTTGGTGGCCCGGTCTAGATGAAGACATTGGTCGAACTGCTAAGAACTGCGAAGCATGCCAACAAAAGCGGAAATCAAAACCGAAGACTTGGGTCCCATGGNATTTCTCGCTTGACTATTCACAATCCGAGATGAGTTGAATAAATCTTAAGCACTTTATGTCACCCGAATCATCAACATTATGATGATTCGAATACGCATCATCATCATAATCCTCATCATCCTCATCATCTCCGGAATCATCTAG